ATTTTTCAATTAATACATTTCTTGCTTATTCCTCTTTACGTTCATATCAACTCACCACATTTTCCACTAGAATAATATATATCTATTCTATTAAAACAGCAGTATGACCCATTGATAAAAGTTGAGTCCAACTAATTATTTCTTTTATTTAAAGTTTTTTTATTATTCTCTTTATATAACTGTATCAACAGTAACCACTTTATATTTCTATCTAACTAAAACAGTTACATTTTGTTTCTTCGTAACTACACAGTTATGTTTCTTCCTTCATACCATGCAATCATTGATTTATCTTCACTTTAATCTTTCTTACAGATAAAAGTGACAGAAGTCTCACGGTGAAAACGTAATCAGGGTGAAAAAATTTCTATGGCCACTTCATTTGAGATGATGATGACGTAGGCTTTGAGTGAAACTGTCCAGATTCTTTTGAAAATAACTGCAATAATTAGAGTTAACTGTAGTATATATAATATTTGATTAAACTCATATTTGCAAACAGGTATGTGAATCTTCAACATAACTTAAACTCCTATTTTAAAGGGTACTTTTTTTTTTCTTTACTCTTATTTGTTATCTAAAAAATATGTCCATATCCAATATTTTGAAACCCTACTTGGATACTGAATCAGACGACTTCTCGGGTCACCGGGTTATTGGATAGACCACAGATGAACAATATATTAATAACTTAATTAATTTTATTATATAATAATATATAATCCAATGAAATAGAAATATAGAAACTAAAATTAAGTATTTCCTATTTTTAAAAAACATAAAATAAAAGTTAGAAAATGTATATATTTTATGTTTTAAAAATCATTTAGAAAATACTTAATTTTAGTTCATATATTTTTATTTTCACTTAGACATACAAAATATCAAAAATAGTTTAAATTATTTACGTTTTTTTGTAAAAAATTAAGAAGTTAAAATTATGACATCTAACAAAAAAATACCAAGACCTAAATTTCATAAATATTTAAATTTCTAATGTCAATAGTAAAATTAAAATTCATATTCAAGATAACCAAAAAAAAACATTATTATAATAAATTGTCGATAACAAAATAAACTAATATCAAACTACATCAACTAATTTTGCTTTTTTTTACTATCGCTCACTTCATTTTCTTTCGGTGGCATAGTGAATTCTTCATCAAAATTTAAAAATGACAAATAAAATAATGTAAATGGGTCTTATATATGATTAAAAAAATGAAAAAGTTTAATCAAAACATAATTAAAAACTAAAAAAAAAGTTATTTATTGGTTCAAGCAGGGGTTCATTTGGTAATCGGATCTTGGTTTTTAGTGGTGTTTAGTGGTTTTAGCGGAGTTTATTGGGTTTTAAATATTGACTTTTTTAAAAAAAACTCAAACCAAATTTATCTTGGGTCACCGAATTTACCGGTTTAACCGCACATCTGGTTCGGGTTTCAAAACACTATCTATATCTAATTTAAATTGTTAATATTTTCTATTTACAGAAAATTATACAGGAAATACAAAACAAATAATATACCCGCATTTTAATGCACCTCTACGCGAATCAATACTATTAAATTAACAACATGCCTTATTGATATTTGTTGGATCCAAATAAAAAAAATACTCGGCATCTAAACTGCTTATATAACTAAAAATTATACATATAACTGCTTATATTGACATGTCTTTTTTTTAAGGTTTATTTGATCTAAAATCCTTTAAATAATAGGTGAACAAAAATAACAATTTCATAGCCACTAATGTCCTATTTTTAAGGACTATAAAACTATAAAACTATAAAACTCTTAGTAGGATATATTGATATCTATCCTACTAATATCCTATTAAATGGAATTAACCCTTTTGAGTTATAGTGGATCAAAATTAACAAAATCCATTCATCAATTTCTGAAAAATTAATATGTGTAACTATAACATTATTATAATTATATATGAAATCAAATAATGAAAACTTAATAAAAATATATAATGTTATTTATTTAATTACCATGAGAATATAAAAAATGTATTATACTTTTTATTTTTTAAAATAAATCATTAATAACTATTTACAAATAAATTACAAAATAAATTTGTGAAATGACTATAGCAGATATATAGTTATCCAACATCTTAAATTCAATCAAATTATCAAAACCTCATATTAGAGAGTGACCAACAAAATTAAACCCAAATAAAATTACAAAAAAACACCAAATATCTTTATAAAAAATAAAAAAAATGAAAATAAAATTTCTCCAAGAAAAGTAAAACAAATAATATACCCGCCCTTTCAAGGGCGGGTCATCTAGTTTATTAATATTAAATCAAAATGATTATACATATATTTAGACTAATTATAAGAATCACATACCAGTATACAAACATATGAACAAAAATTTCATAAATGACATTCTCTGAAAACTAAATTTAGGAGTTTTATGGAAGATTGATTATATAAAAGGATCAACTGGCAATGGCTGTAGGTGTTTTGAATAGTCATTTTTTTAAAAAAAAAGTTTTATAAATCAGTCATGGTATAGTTTTAAAAATTAAAGCTACAGCAGAAAATTAGAAAAAGAAATATGTGTTAGAGCTTTTATTAAGTGTTCTGAAAATAAATCCATAGAAAAAAATAAATTTAAAGCAAAAAAATTACAGTCAATTTACTAAAGAAAAAAAAAACTAAAGTTACAGTACCAACCAATCATTCCCAAAGTTTCAATCAATATTTTGTACTATATATTTTACAGAAAATTTAATTTAGTTTGTTAGTTAAAAATATCATATATTTAGTACATGATAATGTATTTGTTTTAGTTAAATGCAGATATTGGATTTTATTATATAATATTTAAATTATATAAAGTTTATATTTTCATGTTTTTTTGACATCTTTTATATTTTCATGTTATTAAAATATTTTAAGATTTTTAGTTTGTTTAAATAAAAATAACTATATGTGATAATATTTTGTATTATTTATTATTTCCCTATTAATTTATATTTTATTATAAACAAATAATATTTATTTTATCATTTTGACTTTAAAGCAAAAATAATAATTTTGAGAGCCAAAATCCAAAAACTAACCAAAAAATAAACCACCATTCAAGCTTTCTAAAAACTACTATGTACAGCAAAGTAGAAATTTTAAAACCAAATCCCAAAATTAAACATTATTGATCTTATGGTTTCTCAGTCTTTCATTCTCATTGTCACGTTTGTATGTCTAAACTCCAAACCAAATCGGTGAGGATGGATCTAAAACCGATCAAATATGATTTTTTTATAACACGGTTCAAGGTCAGAGATGTAGTCCGTCAAATCTCATAAATTATAAATAACTGTCTATATAAAATCATCTCTCTAATGTATCCAAACGAATTAGCGTTGCATTTAGTAACTGGTTCCACTAGAAACACCAGTACCCTTGTCCCCGAAAATATAAGTCACGAGGGTCGAGCCACTCCAACTATACATAATTAATGTATCATACTGTAGCAGATTAGTAGAAGTAATAGGTGAGAACCATGTAGAGACAAATAACTAAACGAGGCAAAAGTAATCAATATACTCACTTGCAATGGTAAGACGATGTGTCAACATCTTGAGTTTCTTTGTTGGCTTTCAGTTTGTCACTACCTACCAAACATTTACCGAATAAGGTTCAGTCAATGAGACTGAAATGTGGATGAAGCACATGGACTGATTAACATCAGTCCCTAAACAATAGACTATAGTGTTGCCTACTCCTTCCTTGTGTATACCAGAAAATAAGCACAATAGTCACCAAAGTAGGATCTCGATTAACCAGAAAACAGAATCAGACAAGTATCGAATTCCTAGCAGTATAATGAAGGATCACCTGATAAACCATCTAAATCATTCAGACTGAGTAAATATGACCAAGGATGTCAAATAAGCTGTCTACATCCAAATAAGCTTTGCTCAAATAGACATTTTTAGTTATTGATAGTCCACCCAAATAAAATTATGACCAATTAAGACTGCTGTGGATTTCAAATAATAAGTTAAAAATACTAAATAGATTGTTCATTTTAAATGTATTATATTCTTTAATGGGTAATGTTCAAATGTTTAATTACTAAATAAATTGTTCATTCTAACTGTATTATATTAATGGTTTTCTCGTATATCACTTTAAATATTTTGGGCCGATGGCGAATTCGCTTTTACCTATAGATCGATTTAGCCCATTTAAACTCGCTTTTTATACGAGTCTATCCAAAAGATCTTCCGGATCACCGTCCATTTAGATATTATGGAGATAAGAATACAAGATTAGCCGTTGCTCCATTATCCTAACGTCGTCATCGTATCTTCCCATAGTTATGACTATATATTATGTTCCTCTCTATAGCATTCCTTCCTTTGTATAAAATCTAGGCTCTCCAATCATGAATATGTTACCAGAGCCATAATAATCAAATACTCTTCTTCTTCACTCTTCATCATCATTATCAGCATTTAGTTTCTTCTTGGCTAGCAGTTTTTCTCCGTGACGAAGGCGAGAAACGGGAGTGCTAATCAACGGAGACGAATAAATATAACCATCGACGTAATTTCGTTACTACGACAAAACTATCGTAATACTTTTTTCGTAGATGCACTTTGGGTTAAGTCTATGAAAGCCCAGGAGAAGCCTAAAGTGGGCCTGATTCGTTCAATATAATTTACCAATTTACCATTTTACCCGATTTGTGTAAACTGTAGTATTTCAAAACCATCAACAAGACAAAGGTAATAAAACTGCCCGCTCATTTCTTCTTCACGTCTTTTCGCTCTCGTGATCGCATCCACCACTGTCACAATCGTCCTTTTTGGCCATAAGTTTCAGAATTCCATCTTCATTAATTGAAGATCTTTAACGGTCTCTTGCCTAACTTTTTTTTTGTTTTGATAACAGTTTTTTATAAGTGCATTCATAAATCACGATCATTTTCCTTTTGGGTCATATAAATATCTTTTTTGTTTTGTTTTACATGCATCAAGTTTGGGACTATTATTCGAACCGTTATATTGCCATGGTTACCGCCAAGAATAAGGTACGTTCGACCATATAGTCTTCAGTTACTATTACTTATGTCTCTATTTCATATTGTCTTAAAAAATTTCTTTGATCTTCTTAGGGTCTGGGTCGGAATCAAATCAAGAAAGGGTTTAGAAAGTTTTCGAAGAAGATGGAGGGATCAGAGAAATTCAAGAGGGAGCCTATCTTCATAAAGCGCAGTATGTTTTATTGTAACAGATTCATGTTTTTGGTTTATTAATTGCACATTTTTGGATTTTTATTTGTTTTCACATGATCTTGGTTTTAAGATATCTACCTGAAGAAGGAATTTAAGAAGACGGTTCAAGATCATGGCATCTTCTGTTCTTGCTCTTCATCTCCTGGCTCTTCAACTCTCTGTGGAGAAGACTGCGGTTGTTGGTATGCTTCATATCTGACTCCATCTTTCACTTTATTGGCTTGTCTATGGTTAATTTGGTTTAATTTTTAGTTGAAAACTACATTCAAATCAATAATCAGTGTTTGATGTTTGTTGTCACTGATATGTTTCCTTGATGTTAACCATCATCTGATTTTGTTTTATAGGATTCTCTATTCAAGTTGTTCATCTATTTGTGCGTGCAAATGTGAGTGCACCAACAAGCCTTTCCAACAAAGACATATCAAGAAAATGAAATTAGTTCAGGTTTGTATGTTACATGTTGGCTTACATAAAATGCATATTATAAGTGTAGTTGAATAAGGTGTTTCTTGTAGACCGAGAAATGTGGATATGGGGTCGTAGCAGATGAAGATATAAATTCAGGAGAGTTTATCATAGAATATGTTGGAGAAGGTGAATTGATTATTTGGTTCCTTAAATATATATATATATATGTACTGCTTAATGTGTTACATTCTTTTTTCTACTTGTATCTCCATTACCCATTGTAGTTATCGACGATGAGATATGTGAACAAAGGCTTTGGAAGCTGAAGCATAAGGGCGAGACAAACTTCTACTTGTGTCAGATAGACATGAATTTGGTAGTTGATGCTACTTACAAGGGGAATAAATCAAGATTTTTCAATCACAGCTGCAACCCGAATACAGAGATGCAGAAATGGTTTGTCAACTTATTATTATCATTATCCATCTTGTCATTTTTTTTTTATTATTAAAGTAACTTGTTATGAAATTTTGTTTTCATTAGGATAATTGATGAAGAGACAAGACTAGGCATCTTTGCTACCCGTGACATAAACAAAGGAGAGCACCTGACTTATGATTATCAGTAAGATTATTTCCTTGTATCATTTTAATATCATTGTGTAGCTGTGACTAAGAAAATATAGCAGGTTTGTTCCGTTTGGTCCAGATCAAGATTGCCATTGTGGTGCCGTATGTTGCAAGAAAAAGCTTGGTGCAAAAGCTAGCAAAACTAAGAACATACCCTCGGATGAAGATGTGAACTTAGCAGCATGTAAAGTAGGGACCAGCAAACGGCCCAAGGTAAAATAAATATAGAAATATATATCTGACTGAATGAAAAGCTTACATATAGATAGTACTGTTGAATAGGTTTGAGTTCATGTTTCATGATTATTTTTTTATAACAATGCTAAACTTCTCCACCAATCACTACAGATTAAATATTATGAGATTAGACAACTTATACATCATACTATTTCTATATTAATTGAAGTTTTAGTCTTCTGCATGTCTAAATATTTAGTCATCTTGTGATTTGAGATGCTAAATGGCCCAACTTCTTATCATTTCAAACATTCTTTAATTTTAGGTTAAAAGAACTCGAGGTAAAGACCCCCCAGGCTAGTATTAGTTCTTCAGTCTTGGTTTTCGACAAGTTTCTCAATTCAGAGGTAAGGAAAAACAATTCGGATGCGTCAAGACAATCTCAGAACAAACCTGATGTGGTTTTGTTGGCACGGACTAGAGGTAATTTGTTTTTCTTGTCAAAATGCTTAGTCAGATACATTTCCTCTGCTCACTAAGCACCTTTTTAGTCGCTTGTATCCTAAGATTGATTCTTGGACTCATGATATATATGGCGTTAAATTTTTTTTTTTTTTTTTATATTTTCAAGTCTTTTGGCTTCATTAGAGAGTTTTGACGAGTGTCCAAGCAAGCTTTTTTTTTTTTTTTGGAACACCTTTATTTTTGAAACACCAAGCATTTGGTATTACATTACTTGACCTGAGTTATGTTGCACACCTTCTATTCATTTTATGAACTCTATTAAAACAATTTGTCTTTTCTCTAGGTCACGTACGAGGATGGCGTTACCGAGACGATTGACATGTCCGAAGAAGTTTGGAAGTTCATAACTGTTGCTTCAGGCTACTTTCTGATTCCATTTTTTTTTAAATTCTCTTGAATTGTTGAAATTTGTCGTTAACTGGGCTGTATTTGCTATAATAACCAACCCAAACATGTAGACTTAGTTGTTTAAAATGTTACTCAGTATGTGTAATCTTTTGGACCATACAAAAAGTTATTGATGTTAAAACCGGGGTATGTTTTATTTTTTTTGAGGACGATACTGGTTTGTTCTGTCTGTATATAAATAAGCGCGTGATTCTTCTGGGCTGCATCGTCAGTAGGTTAGTAGTGTTCGTTGACGACACTGATACCCAAGCGCCGGTGACCGACAGTTGATTGTCATTGCCGGTGGTAGGTGATGTAGGGGCCGTAGCTCACTTACCTAACTAAATAGTTTATAGAATTTTAATAATGTTGATTTCTTTTACATAAAATAAAACATGTGTTTACACAGTAAAGTATTATATAACTAAAGTAGAATTTCTTTTTACAAAACCATGTGTTTAGATAGGAAATTATTATTGTTATATTGCAAAATCAACTAAGCACCAATAAAAAAACTGCTGAACAACTAATCTCGTAAATTTGGTACCAAAAATTCAAATATCCAAAAACTGAATAAGGAACATAAATTTAAATCAGTCGAAAAAAACATGAATTTCAAAATCTAATAAGAAACTAATTAAATATTTAAATATTTTTTTTGATTAAACTTATGTGTAAGTAACAACGATATTGACAAAATTAGTTTTTTTTTCAAGTTTTGCTGGTTACCACCACCAAACTTATTGATCCCTTTCATTTAGAGGTTACACCACTTGTTTTCAACCACTTTTCTTCCATATTCAAAATCCAAATCTAAGATTTGATCTCACCGACGATGAAAGTTGTAGAAAAGGTCAAATCCATGACGGAGCAAGGCCAAACCGCCTTCTCCTTCGAGTTCTACCCACCACCAAAGACCGCAGATGGTGTCGATAGTCTCTTCAAAGTTCAAACAGATGGATCGATTGGTCTCATACGGATCCACCTTCTGCTACATCGCTTGGGGTGCAGGAGGATCCACCGCAGATCTCACCCTCGAGATCACTTCGAGGATGCAGAATGTGATCTGTGTGGAGATGATGATGCATTGCGCTTGAGACAATTAGATCCAATGGAATACAGAATGTGCTTGCGCTTAGAGGAGATCCACCTCATGGCAGAATAAATTTGTTCAGGTTGAAGGAAGGTTTGCTTGTGATTTGGATCTTGCGGATCACATTAGGCCATCATTATCTCCTGAAACCGTGAAAGGGTTTCTTAAATTTTTTTTTTGTCTGAAAAATTAAAAAGCGAACTAATCATAGGTCACCACGTGTCGGTGGGACCCACGAACAATACAAAAAAATCCATCAAGAACGGTCCTTACTTGGACTCCCCAAAACTCGTTTCTTAACAAAACGATGGGACTCACAAAATTTTAAATTATTTTGTTGTAAACCCCCAAAGCTAAGAGCCTGCGATAATGGTGGCCTTAGAAGCAAGTATGGTGATTACTTTGGGATCACTGTTGCTGGCTATCCTCGTATTCAAATTTTCTCTCTTTTTTGAACTTCATTGATGGGGTTAGATCAAGTTTTTTTCTGATTTTTGGGTTCATCCTCATATGCTTCTTCGGATTTTAATATATTTCCAGGGTGGATTTGGTATATTTAATATCAATATCTAAAACTTATTCCATTTTGAATACTAGCTCATCTCTGATTCAGTTAATAATAGTTCTAGTTCGCGTATTTATAGATATTATATCAAATTAAACATGAATATGAATATTTGAGTTACTTTATATAGGTTTCATATACTTATTTCAGATACTCGCATTGGGCATTTTGGATTTTTTTCAGTTTATTCCTTCAAATTTGGTTAATAACACTTCATGTTTAGATGTATTTTATACCACTTCCCAAGACCAGCTCAGATTTTGGGATTTGGATATACCACTTTACAAGATCCATTTGAGTAATTTTTACATCTCGAGGTCTGATACGGTGTTGAAATTTTTTGGCTCGGTTTAGATTTTGGGATTTGGATTTCTTTTCCCATGCCTGGTTGGTTTGTAATGTCTCTCTAATTGGTTTTTAATTTCAGTTTAATTTTGAATGTAATTCATGTTGTCGGATTCGCAAATCAGTAATTGGTTGAGTTCGTTAACCCATTTGTTTTTGGATTTTGAAGACCTGAAAGTATTATTGGATTTTTGAAACTTTTGCATAATTTATATAGGCATTCAAAGCCAAACCAATCTCACAAAAACCAAACTGAACACAAACCAAAATTTAAATATCTACAAAAGAATTAAATTGTTAGCCTCAAAACAAGAATACACCTGAACGAAAATACCTGAATAGTTAACCAAATGGATATCCGAATGGTAACTCGAACGCTCACTCATAAGCATATTGGCTATATATCTTATTATTTGACATACTTTATTTTTATTTGACAATGTGTAATTTTCTTTCAGATAAGTTTTAAATATTTTAAAATTGGTTATTTATAATTATTTAAAGCATACAAAGTATATATATATATATATATATATATATATATATATATATATATATATATAAGGGTCAATGATCTATTTCCTCACGAGAACTATCATATAGCATCAGATATCCACCGAACTATGACCTCATGCCAGATCTCCATAAATCGAAAGTTACAGACTTATTTCTCCCTGAATCAATAGTTCAAAACTTAATTATCCATATACTCTGATTTTAATTGGTTTATTGTTAACCGTATAATTTAAACCAAATAAACAAGTCAATAATCCATTTTTCAGCAAAAAAGAAAATGCTAATACACTATTCAATCTCCACACTATCATTATCATCAAAGAAATTTTGAAGATTTTCATATTTTGAGAGACTTTGAAAACTTATTTTTTGATAAAATTGATTATTTTTTTTTTGGTTTTAAAGTTGTTTGGTTAACAATAAACCGGTTAAACTAATTTTTATGTGTAATTAACTTTTAAATTATTAGTTTGAGGAGAAATAGATTTTGAAATATTGATTCGGGGTGAGTAAGTTTATAACTTATAATTCAGGGAGATATGACACGAGGTGATAGTTCCATGAATATTTGATGCTATATGATAGTTTTTGTGGGGAAATAGCACGTTTACCCTATATATAATTATAAAGCTCAAATAGTTTTATGTATATTTTTAAATTAATTTTCTATTATATTTTGAAAAATATATATTTATTGAAATTATTAATTATTTATTAAAATATTTTTTTTGAAAATATACATCATTGAAATTATTAGTTTTATGTGTAATTCTTTCAGATAAATTTTAAAATATTTTTAAACTGGTTATTTATAAAAAAATTAAAGCATAGAAAGTAGATATATATATATATATAAAATTTTAAAGCTCAAATATTTTTATGTATATTTTTAGATTAATTTTCTATTATATTCTGAAAAATATACATCTATTGAATTATATAATTATTTATTAAAATAAATTTTTGTTGTGAAATGTAAATTGTGATATAAAAGTTTACAATGATACAATTTTTAGACTGTTTTTATCCACTTTTGACATTCAAATATATGTTTTAAACCGTTAGATCCGCTTCATCCACATTTATACCTAGGAACCAAGGCAGGACAAGAGTTATGGGGGCAAGTGCACTCATTATTTTATCAGTATAATAAAACTTGTATGTAAGATGTTAAGTTTCAGCTAAAGTGGAAAAAGTCTTCTTGTGCACCCATGACATCCCAAGTTTGGTCTGAGTTAATATCATCTATTTATTTTTAGAGTTGTGCACCCACCCAAAAAAATATTTTGGATTTTTCCTTCTTGTACCACTAAATCCGTTTGATTAATTCTTGTTTCCTCGATCCGTTTAATCTACTAAATCCGCAATGTTTAATCCGTTTTTCCATTCGGAGCCATTATGTTTGTGTTTTCTTCTGTCAGATCATGGTCTCTTATTTCGATGCAATCATTGATGAAATTAAAGCTCAATGGTAAGGGAACTATATTCAATTTACAACTTTAAAATACTTCTTAGCAAGTCGTATAAATGATTATATGAATGGTGTAGTGATCCAGTATGACCGTAGTTACAAATTAAGCTCATTGCCATTATAAACAAGGTTCTTGAATCCGGTCATAATCAGTGAATTAGTTGGAGCCAAAATAAAACAGCCAAAAACATAAAGGAGAAATAGGCAGACTCGAAAATTAGCATATGGCTATGGTCGGGACAACTTATCGGCGAGACAAGTTGTATAATTAAAGCCATATATCGTTGAATCATTATGTCTAGCTTGAGAGAGTTTCAGCTGACAGGACTCAGGAGAGATTATTTATTTGTTTTCTGAAGTATGAGGATTGAGAGAAGATGAAATCTACAATCCCATGTATAAATGACATAAATATATGTTTTATATTAATATCCTACATCTACTTATATACAAATGTCTAATCGCTAAAAAAATTATATAACCAAATACGCCAATGTTAAATAATGTTCTATTTACAAAACATGCATATTTTAATCTAAATATGTATCTCTTTAATTATTTTAAATCTTAAGCATTTTCTAAATCTCAGACCAAAACAAACAAACGAAATGAGAATAAACTTCAAAATCAATATTTATATCGAACAATAACCAATATGAAAAAGACAAAAATATTGAAGATAGATAAGGCTGATACGTGAACGTAAATTTCTCATGACTATAATTAATTTTTAAATTGTTAAATCATGATATAAAACCGAGCTGACACAGTTTCATTATAACCAAATAGAACTGAGTATTTTCGACCTAAACGTTAGGTTCTTTGCAGTAAGTGATATTTTAATCTAAAACATTTTTAAAAATGAGATTAGATGATCAATAAAAAAATTATGTATATAACAAAAAGTTAAAAAATTGTCTAAAGACCAAAATTATAAATTTAATTAAGAATATATATTTATTTTTCCATATAACATTTTAATTACTTTTTATATAAATTTATCCTGCGCAAAGCGTATGTCTTATCTTAATATAATAATTTTTTTTGGGTCAAATCCTAATATAATAACATTTGGCTATTTTGCCTAATGAAATTGTTCGACCTCTCCGTATGATTATAAGCCGTTCTGTTTGTTTGAACTTCGAATAATCAATGTAATGGAATAAATAAATATAATTAATCAACAAAAGACTTGCATGCAGTGGCGGACTCACCATTTACTTTTACCTGTGTCAATAATATATAACTTCTTGATTTATTATAACAAAAATATCGAATGAAGATTCAAGCCGGATTAAGGTGTGTCAGTAGTACCCGTGTTATTACTTTTAGACTTTTTAGATTTACAAATATTATTTTCTACTAAAAGACCAATTAAACCCCATTAAACCCTATTTTTAATATCATGTGTTTTCTTAATTGATAAATTTAATGTCTGTGTAAAATATTTAAATTTGGAATAAATTAATATTTGATTGAATAAATTCTTATTTTTTGGGTTGAGATGCAAGTTATGTTATTGTAATGTAAATTCTAATAGAATAGATTAGTAGGTTAATAGTCAAACAAAAAAAAAACATATCTGAAAATGAGGAGGAATAATATAACAACTGACACAAGTGTTAAACTATTATTTTAGTATAATAGATAAAATCATCGAATTGCCATTTGGTATAAAGTAAAAATGAAAAAAATAATAGTCAATATTTCTAAACGTGGCTGAATATATGTGTTTGAGGACGTGGGTTCCTGTGTATTTGGAACTAAAGTAGAGGTTGCAACATTAGTTTATTAGAAAAAATAGTTATAATTACAATTTCCAGAAAAAGGTCATATAATTTGCTTTATGTTTAAATAAAAAGATTAAATAATTGAATTACTTATATACAATAGATCATATTGTTGTTTTAATAGAATAGATCCTCATCCAATACAATAATACAAACCAAAATTTGTTTACATACATATCTAAGACGATGACATTAAATATTGAAATTTATTTGAAGTAATCAATATTCAAAATATAAGAGTTGCCCAATGGAAAATTATCGTATATTACTCGGGATTTAGATGGGTTATTGATTATAGTTTCTATAGTTGTTTTTTGTGTGAAAGATTAAGTTTCTATAGTTAGCTAGCATATTTCAAGTTTGTACGTTAATTAAAATAAACTTTGATGAAACATTTAAAAATGCAATATTTAAAACAGAAAAGACTAGATTGAAAAACCACAATTTTATAAATAAATTAAGAGTAAAAGTAATATAATTAAAGTAGTTATAATTTATTTTAATGTTACTTAATTAACTGATTTATATTTACTTCGATCAATTTAGATCGATTTAAAAATTTAAATTATTATTTTTAAGTTTATTGCGGTTATAATCGATTTATTGATTAGACAGTATCTACACAGATTTTTATGAATATTGAAAAATAGAAAAAAAAACTATTTCTAGAAGCCATGTAAGATTAATTATGCCGACATTTAACAAATTTTTAAATAACACAAAGTCAACTTCGCATCTCAGGGTAAAATTGATAAGCTAAGTCAACCCCAACTAATCATTATTCATTAAGAATGAAAATTGCTTACGCCATCTACCATATTCTTTTTTGTTTTGCTTATTTGTTCAGTTCTTTAAATAACAGTTGAAAATTAATAATTATTTTCTTCTATAGCGTAAAAGAAACAGGTAATTCTCTTGGGAAAATTACAGCTTATTTAAATCTAGATGTGTGTAACGGAGGGCAGGTCCATAGTTGTATTCATGACATACTTGTCAATATTTTGACTATTTAATATTTAATTTGTAGTTGATAAATGTTTCTTATATTAATGTTTCTGACCAACCAACAATAATATTGTATTTAACTGTATATTCTATGGTCATATCCACAACTTTTTGAGTATATATACAGACGCAGATAATCCAAAAGATTTGCATATTACATCTTTAAACAATACAAGAAACCTCAAATCCAATCTCAACGAAACAAAATCCAATTTTTTTCTTGTCTAATGGTGAGAAATTCAATGAAGGCTGAGTACGATCTTGATCATCTTCCTCAACAAAGCTTTTATGGAGATTATTCACGAACTTTGGTTCCTATGAACAAGAACTCCCAAATAATCACCAAGATCAAGCCTAAGATCCGTATCATCCATATATTTGCGCCGGAGATCATCAACACTGACGTCAAGAACTTCCGTACACTCGTCCAAAGTCTGACCGGAAAACCAGAGATAACCAAAACCGGTTCTAAGAAAAAGATAACGAGAACAAATATTCATGCACTAACGCCTCCACCTCAAGCATCCAGCCAAGTACATACGGCAGAGCCGGTCAAAAGTTTTATAGAGAACCACGTTGTGAAGGAAGAATGGGGATCATGTTCAAACACAAACACTTACTTTGATTTAGATGGTTTAGTTGGTCTTGACGAAGCCGACGACATATTCTCAAGTCGATGGTTTGATCTTCAAGACCACTAACTAAACTTGTGGTCCCTAATATCTAGGGTTTCTACTAAATTTGTGGTCCCTATTGGTTCTGATGATTTAATCATGCGTTGGGACGTGATAAGACATGGTTTGAGACATTAACCATCATGGTTGCGACGATGATCATCATATAGGTTGGGCCGTAGGGGTGCTATACATAGTTTGTATAGATATACACATGTTGTGATTTTTTGTGCCCCTTGATTTAACTTGGTAGACTGACTTTGCTAAAATTTGGTGTGACATGCACGTTATACTTAGGGCTGGGCATTTTATCCGTTATATTTGATTCGATTCGTTATTTGTTTCGATTCGATCCGAAAATTCCGGATATCCGTTAACTTTCGAATCAAAACAAATACTAAAATTCAATATCCGTTAAAATCGAAGCAAATCACAAATAGTAAAATTTTGGGAAGCGGATATCCGATCCGATCCGTAAATATATAAATATATGTATATCTTGATTATATTTAACATTTTAAATGTATAAAATTATATAATTATTATTCTAGCATATGATTTTGCACAATTCTATTCTAATTATTACTTATATAAAAGTATTACATAAAAAGAAAGAAAGAAAATTATGACAATTATATTTTTTTCTTAAATTTTGTGTTATTATAATTGTAACTTAAGCTTAAAAAATTACAAAATATATAAATTCACTAGTTCTTTTAAGTTTTATTTTATATATCATGCAAAAAAATATTTTTGCCAAGCAAATTTGTTTCAAAATCTTAAGATTATTTGTATTAATCAAAATGAATGAGATATTCGTAAATATTCGTAAATATCCGCAAATATCTATTTATTTTCCGGATATCCGTTTTGCCGGATATCCGTATTTTTTCGAAGCAAAGCAAATACCAAAATTAGATATCCGTAACATTCGAAGCAAATCACAAATACCTTAAAAAACCCGGATATCCGATCCGTGCCCACCCCTAGTTATACTCACGCATGCGTGTATTAGTTCTTTTGATGTATTTGTTATTGACTTTTGCGGTGCAGAAGTCTATATATATAAAACGGGAGAATGATTGTTATAATTATTTATTAAATATATCAAAAATTTAATCAGTCTAATTAAAATCTTTACTATTATTTGAGAAGTAAATTTGTTTAGTTGTCAACTTCTCCTTGATTTTAGGTAATTTAGCTTATTTTCATATTTTTAATATTTTTAAATATAATTAGATAATAAAACGAATTTATATTAATAAGATGATATTTGTAGAAAATAAGTTAACTCTTAATACAAAACTGAGATATATAAAAATCTATACTATTATTTGCGAAATAATTTTTATCATTATTATTTCAGAAGTAAATTTGCTTAGTTGTCAACTTCTCCTTCATTTTAGGTAATTTTGCTTATTTTCATATTTTTAATATTTTCATATATAATTTATTACATAATGAGACCAATTTATATTAATAAGATGATGTTTTTAGAAAATATGATAATTCTTTTGTATTAAATTGTTATCTTGAAAATATATTTTCTACTATAGAAATAAAAAAATTGAGATATATAAAAATCTATACTTTTATTTGCGAAATAATTTTTAACATTCAAACTCTCACGTTAAAAGTTAGAGCAACTAATATCAATATTACTTAGTGAATAATTATATACAACATAATTTATTCTACAATTTGAAACGAATTTTGTATTAATAATATTAGATTTATATGAAATGTTGGATAACTATTATAAAATAGCATAATAAAACTATCATAATATATATTCTTTAAAAAGGGATAATTTCTACATATATGCAGTTGTTATCAGAGAATTATTTTAAATTAATAAAATAAAATTATCAAAACGTGTATATTATTTTTAAATATAATTCCTACATATATTTAGTTGTTATCTGAAAAAAAAAATTTAACATAAAAAGATAAGAAATAAAAGATGAAACATTATTAAAGTACAAAATAAAATTTTCTAAATTGTAATACTATTATTAGTAAAGTAAAATTTTACATTTGAACTCTCATGTTAAAAGTTAGAGTGCTTTTATTGGATAATTAAATATGAATTAATATGTAAATTAATAAAAATAAAAACAAATAAAAAACAGTTTCCTACATAATGTTATTATCTGAAAAGTATTTTAATTTTGAAAATTTAAAAATAAGAAATAAAAGATATAAAACTAATAATTAAATAAGAGATCCAGTTTTATAAATTTTAATTATAAGTGTAATTATAAATATTGTAATATGATTAAGCCCGCATGTGCGGGCAAAACACCTAGTTGTTTATTAAAACTAAAAGATTCAGCTTAAAATAATAAAAAATAACAAAAAAGAAAAATAACTTCTCAAATAATATTATAGATTTCTGGATGATATAAAGATCTTGTAAAATATAAGAAGACAATTCTCAAAACAATAATATATATATACACTAGGTGTTTATTCTGCGCATGCGGACATAAACATTTTATAATTATTTATTAATACATGCATTACTAATAAAAACTATAATTATATATGTTTATTTATATTTTCATTTCAAAATTGTTATGTATAATAAATTTCCCAATATTTATTTTTAATTATATAAAATTATGAATTTACTCAATTAATATTTAGTTATCTGTTTCTATTTTTGAATTTTTAATTTTTTATCAAAAACTATTTAGATAACATCACAATATATATATAGAAAGTGTATCTCATTTAAAAAAAAAATAAATGGTTTAAGTGTTCACAATTTTATGATCTAAAATAAGTTATAAGTCTTATATTATTAATATAAAATATATTATAGGAAGCATCTTTTTATTTTAAAATATATTTTTAGATTTTGGATAACTCATATTATTATTAATTTTAATTACTTATCTAATCAAATAAATACTAAATTCGTTTCTATTTTTGTCTAGTTTATATGTTTGGTTCATTAAGGGTAACAACAACATTGACCAGTGTATGTGTTTTTCCCTCATATGAATGCATAATCTTCTTACGCATACTTATTATTTTATGTTTTATAATTCAAAATTCAGCATTTTAAGTTATTATTTATGTTTTCAAAAAGTTTAGATCAAACATCAAATAATTGATATATGACAAAATATTTCATCAAAAAAATACTTATTGTGTTAAAATTTAGAAACATTCACAAATTAGAAATATTTTTATATTTGTTATATTAATATTTATTATAATTTTTTATATCTTAATTTTTAAAATTTATTATAAAAATATTATTTCCAAATAACAAAACAATATATACAAGAATTATTTATTTTTAATATCTTGTTATCATTTATCTAATATAACATAAAATTTTAATTTATTAATATAAAATTCACTTTTATTTATTTAATAATTTATATATAGAAACTTATTAAGGGTATCTTTGACTTTTTTAATATATACATTACTAATTTAAAGTATCATGATACGTTATTTTTTATGTTTAAAAAAAACAATTACCGAATATCAAAAACAAATTTATTCATCAATGTATATATATATATATATATATATATATATATATATATCTATATACAGTAAAAACTCTATAAATTAATAATGTTTGGAATATGGTATTTTATAATTTATAGTGTTAATTTGTAAAAAAAGCTTCCTTATTTAGTTTGCAATTTTCAGATATTTTTTTTTATAACTTAAGAAAAATATTTGATTTTGAATGTATATACATTTTATTTTGAAAATGGCGTTTATCTTGTTTTATTTTATTATTTAGTGTATAGCAAATATATTTTGTAGAATTTAAATATGGTCACAGAAATAATTTTTTTAATTCTCATTAAAATATATTAATTGTTAAGAAAATATAAAAATAATTCCACTGTTAATATAGAAAAACAATATATTGATAGTTTCATACTTATATAAGTATGTAAATATATATAAATTATTAATTTATAATTTTAATAGGACCACATATTTGCATATAATTTTATAAAAAGTTATTATTATATTATTTTATTAGTTTATTGTCATATTTTGAAATGGTCCAAACTGAGACCAGAAAAAATTATTAATTTATAGTGTTTATTAATTTATCGAGTATTAATTTTATAGAGTTTCTACTGTATACTAATTAGTGCGTTAATATTTTTTAAACTCTCTATAAATATTTTCAATTCTGTGTTTTCTGTTTCTATTTTTTTTTATAGTTAAAATATTCGTTTCGGATAACATCAAAATTTATATAGAAATCATTTTATTTTTTTTAAAGACATTAAATATGTTTTCGGATAATAACATAATATATTTAGGAATTATCTTTTTATTTTTAAAAATATTTTATTATATTAGTTTTAATGAATTATCTGATTTAATAAAATTTAAGTTCATTTCTACTTTTGTGTAATTTTATCATACTAATTTATAATTAATAATCTAATCTAGTAAATAAATATAATTATGAAGAGTAACAATGATATTAACCAATTTAATTTTTAATGTGAGAATTAAAATTTTTAAAATAACTTCACAAAATAATGGTATTGATAAGATGACATGTAATGCTCTGTAGTCATTAAGATTCGTTATTTTGATAGCTAGGTTACATCATTCAACTAATATTTTTATGACACCGTTATATTATTTATAATGGAAAACATTACTACTATGAGGCTTCAATCCTAATTTGTTTAATTTTGTGGAAATATATCATTTTCACAGGCACGATCCTATATATATATATATATATATATATATATATATATTTAATAGTATATAAAAATAACTGATTGTTTTATTTTATATCAGACTCCAAATATGTCAGATTTTGCACTGTTATTCAATTGCCATTTTTTAACTGTATCCAAGAAAAAAGACCATTTATAACCTGAGTACATACTTTTTTAACACTAATTGCTTATAGTAACCTAAGTACATACTAACAGCTACTTTTATTAATAACCTTTATAAACTTGCGAGTCACGGACTTGGATAAGATATAATCCCATAATGAACCAACTTGGACCGAA